CGCGGATTGCTCGGGAGCGCGGAGCGGGTGCCGGTGCTGCCGGGGCTGCCTTGCTTGGAGGCTCTCACTGATGTGTGCAGGGATGGCCCCGGGGCTCGGTGCTCCCCCAGCAGTCCCAGCCAGGCTGGTGGTGCTGCTGTCCCTGCTGGGTTTGGCTGCAGCTGGGAAGCTGCTGGTGGTGCCAGTGGATGGGAGCCACTGGCTCAGCATGAGGGAGGTGCTGGACGTTCTCCATCAGAAGGGACATGAAATAGTCGTCGTGGCGCCTGAAGTCAGTTTGCACATGAAGCCATCCAAGAATTTTGTGATGAAAATGTACCCAGTGCCTTTCACACAGGAAGAGATGGAGAAAGAATTCCAGGATTTTTTTCATATTTCTTTTGAAGAAGGATCTTTCCTGTCTAGATTTCTCAAGGTCTTTGAAGGGATGAAAAGAATTACGGCCTTTGGGGTCTCAAGCTGCAAAGAGCTCCTGAAAAACCAAGAGCTCATCAGGTATCTTGAGGAAAGCAAGTTTGATGCCCTCCTCACAGACCCTGTCATACCCTGTGGGGCGATCCTGGCAGAGCATCTTTCCCTTCCCTCCGTGTATTTCCTCCGAGGAGTGCCCTGTGGATTGGATTTCGAAGCCACCCAGTGCCCCAATCCCCCTTCCTACGTTCCCAGGGCATTTTCCCAGCACACAGACCACATGACCTTCCTCCAGAGGGTGGGGAATCTGCTTCATGAGATCCCAAATTTTTTCCTCTGTGACTTTGCCTTTCAACCATTCGCCAAACTGGCCTCGGAGTTCCTGCATCGGGAGGTGACAGTGCTGGATCTCCTGCGCCGGGGCTCCGTTTGGCTCCTCAGGGTAGAGTTTGTGATGGATTATCCCCGGCCTTTGATGCCCAACATCATTCCCATTGGAGGGGTGCACTGTGCTCACAAGAAGCTGACTCAGGTGGGTTCTGGTTTAGTTCGTGCTGAGGTTGATTTGTGCGAGCTGAGGGTGAAGTTTTGTGCTGCAGGGAGGAGTCGAGTTGCCCTTTTGGGTGACAATCCCCCTCCCACAGTGTTTAAAGTGTCTGCTCTGCCCTGTGAGCTCACAGAGCCAACCTGTCCATGGGCTGGCACACTGGGAGTGCTGATCAGCCTGGAGGGTATGTCCTGCAGGAACCTGCATCATCTTCCCATCTCTTCAGTCTTCTCAGCCTGGAAACAGCCAACTGCAAGAGCTGTTCCACAGCCCGGGGGTCTGGGCCTCCCAGAGCCGAGTTTCCTGCGGGGGAGGCAGCAGGTCTTGCCTGGGAGAAGCCTGTGTGAGGCTGAGTGGTGCTGTGCAGTGACACATCTCCTGCAGGGGCACAAGGGCCATGCAGGGGGAAGGTGTCAGGGGTGCAGTCCCAGCCAGAGCTGTCCCGGCCTCCTCCCAGGGACGCTCTTTATTGTTCCTCTGATAGAGAGGAACACCCACCTGGGTGTTATCTGGTGATTCCAGCACACAGCACCAGCCTGTGCACTTGGCTGGACTTCCCTGCTGGTTCTGCAGCCTTTTAT